CAAAAATGTTTGGTCGTCAGTTGCACCCTCATTCATAGGTGAGTACACCTCTAGGACCAACAACTTTTTTCTAATAATACTTGTATCTAATCATGTGCATGTGTAATTGCTCAATGAACAACCACGCATGCACACAGTCACTCCTTGGGGCAATTTAGAGTCCCCGATTAACCCACCACGCATGTTTTTGTAAATTAGGAGGAAGCTGAAAAACCCGGAAGAAACCCAGATATAAATGGGGAGTACATGAAAAATCCACGCAGAAGGTCCCCTGGTCCTAAAGTGATTTTAGTCTTTTGCGTTGCGGCAACAGTGCTAACCACCACACCACTGTGCAGCAGTGTTAACATCCATATTTTTTAATAGCTCAATCGAAAAATTTCATGAGGCTGTTTTCTGAGATAATTTGTCATGAAGATTGAATAAATCACTTTTATTTTAAAGAACTAACCTTGTACTTTTAAAAAAGTAGACCAAACTATATATTGTTAGGAACTCGTTGTTGGAGGGTAAAGCAAAAAAGTACCATGAAAATACAGTGTGCAGGACAGGTCTTGGACCAACAATCACTGCTACAAAAGTGTTGAGTGTCACCAAAGTACATTGATGAGGAGTTTTTGCCTTTTCTTAATATGTGTGTATGTGTGTGTTAAATGTGTGTGCGTGAGAGTGTTATTTGTTTAATGTAAATCTGTCTTGGATACGATCAGACCCAATGCTATGTTGCCCAGACATGTTTTGTATCCAGCTGGATTTCTGATTTCTTGATTACAGAGTATACTGATATGTTTAAAAAATAGTCCGGTGTACAGTATAAATCCAAACTTCATACTTATTTGGCATAAATAGTGCCAACAATCATTAGTTTCCACGTGTTTTTCCGGTGAGTTTTTCCTTCAAGGATTTTCCTTTTCCATTTGACTACCATTTACAATGGTGCCTCGGTGTGAAATATAATATAATACATAATTCAAACTGAATCCTGAACAACTTACAGGATGAGCACAGCAGAGAAAGAGAATAAATGCAACTGTCTGAACAATCCTTCCAAATATACTAAAAAAAGGCACCTTTTTTATAAACCATTCTGGACAAAAGACAGAACATTAGAAATTTAAAAGGACAAAAGTTGGCTTCAGTGGGTTGAATTTTCATTTAACTTGTTCCTTGCTTGTTAAACTTAAATAGGTGGGAAGTTTGAGGAAGCTGTAGTTAAAAAAATTTGAGAAAAAGTGACTTTCCACATTTTAAATAACTTCCTCCTCAGATAAGAACACAATGAGTCACCCAAGTAATGCTTATGACTCATAAATGTCTAAATCCAGAACTCCTATAATTTCCTTTTGTCAAATGAAACAAAGGCCAAAGAACACAGAAAGCTTGGCTGAACACAGATCAAAGCTTTACTGAGCATGTGCATTAGTTTAGTCTATTTTCAAAGATACAATTCAATTCCAGTCAATTTAAGTTTTAGTTAATTATTTTTAAAAAGATACCTTTGAAATAATTTCTATTAAATATTTAATTATATCTTCAATCATTGCATTAATTCTCCAGCCTTGACTTGGAGGAGTTTGCAATGAATAGATTAAATTCTATTCACAGTTGCTTGTTGAGCAGCACACCATTAGAATATTTGGACTTCAACACAATTGTTTTTGTCTCATTACACCACCACAATGGATTTGAAATAACATAAACAAGATGTGCTTTACTTGCAGAATTTCAGCTTTAATTTGGATGTATTTACTTCCAAATCGGGTCAACGGCGTAGGAATTACAACCGTTTGTATATGTGCCTCCCACTTTTTAAGGGACTACAAGTAATGGGTGAAATTAACAATAATAAATCAAACTTAAAATTTTTAATAATTCAATTCATAGTCAATTACTGCCTAAAGTCTGGAATGCATAGACACTGGGTTTCATCTGTGGTATCATCACTTTCCATCACTCTAGTACAAGTTGATCTTTGTTTAATCTGTTTATAGGATGTTTTTGCTATCTCTCTGATGGACTTGTTTTGATCTTTCAGTCTAATGATAGCTTTCTTCACTAATAGTGACAGCTCTTTGGATCCCATATAGCGAGGTGGCAGCAACATATTCCAAATGCAAACAGCACACTTGAAATAACTCTATACCTTTTATTTGCTCCTTGTGAATGGGATAATGAAGGAATAACACACAACTGGCCACGGAACAGCTAAGCAGCCAATTGTCCAATTACTTTTGGTTCCTAAAAAAGTTGGAGGCACAAGTACAAACTGTTGTAATTCCTTCACCATTGACCGATTTGGATGTAAATAGTCTCAAATTAAAGCTAAAATTCTGCAGTTAAAGCACACCTCTTTTTATTTTATTTTATGGTTGTGTATAAAGCTAAAACGATTAAATGTTGATGGCCCAATATTTATGGAATTTTTCCAACTTTTGCCTTTAAATGTTTGATAAAATTAGTTGTTCAGAATGCAACTTTTTTATTGGTGAGCAATAAAGAGGGGAATTAAAAGGGGTTTGATTGTCTTGCATCATTCTCGCTGGTGTAGACCATGATTCACTCTTTCTAGTTAGTTTGACATTGTTGGTTATATTAGAGGACAACCAGCTCTATTGACATGAGTGCATTCTTAATTAACAAACTACCCATTTTGTGTGTGCGTGTTTCCCTGTCCACTTAGCTCAATTATTCAAACTTACTCTCCAAAAAGCGGGAAAGATTTTATATCAGTCTGCATAATGATCAGTAATAACATTTCTATATATGATGCTTCATTTACAAGATATTTACTTTAACTGTTTGACTTAGGACTAGTATTGTAACAAATTGTACTGACATCTTGGCCTATGGATGCAAAAGGTAAAGATAATCTTGTTCACATGTGTCAGCAGATATTTTGTTTAATTTGCATGAGGTCTGGAGCAAATATGGTGGACATATGTGTTCTCAATTGCCACTTCATACAAACATCTCTCCATGAAATTTGTGCAAAAATGAAAAAAGCTACAATTTAATTTGTTGTGGAGGAGGTGTTTTTACTAGTACGCTCTTCTGCTGTTATGTTCATGTTCATGCATTTGGCAGACGCTTTTATCCAAAGCGACTTACAGGGTAGAGAGGAGCTGCATTGGCCGGGAATCGAACCCAGGTCAACTGCTTGTTATGTGTTAACTGATAGTGTTTATAGAGCTAAACCTCATATTTTCCAAGTCAGGTATCCAGCACAGACCATATTGAAAAATTAGTAGTTAAATAAAGTGTCCAACATGATTGTACTGTTCTTTTTTCAGTGGAATGCACATGCTTTTCTACTGCCATTCAATTCATATTTGAACATTTTTCTTTGTTTAAGCAGTTCTTTCATCCATCAATTTTCTATACCCTCATTGTCCAATTCATGGTTGTACACATGCATCAGGAAAAAATGCACGCCCCACACAGAAAGGCCTCCAACAGAATTCAGGAGTTTAACCTCTATCTTTTACCAGTCAGTTTATATCAGAAAACACATTTGTATTAGAAATCCCAGTGTTAGGAATTACACTTTTTTTCAAGATAAGACAGATTCAGGAAATTAAAATATTACTGAATAACAGGTGTGATACCACAAGAGCAAAACTTTTGCTTTTATTAACGCTGTCAAATCTTTAGTCATAATGATATGAAGGCCTTGCACAATGCTCAGAACGTTTGCTTTTGGAGAATTGAATTGAATTGAATTGAAAGCCTTTATTGTCATTGTACACAGTACAATGAGATTTGGAAAGCAGCTCCATGAAAGTGCACACATTAATTACACATACATATATATATACAATACATTAGTGTAAGTGGAGTACTAGTACTAGTACGAGTCTGAATGTTGGTTGAGTAAAGTGACAGCTTTGGGGAAGAAGCTATCCCTGAGTCGGTTTGTTTTGGTTCGTATTGACCTGAAGCGCCTGCCTGAGGGCAACAGGTTGGAGGGGTGGAAGCCAGGGTGGGTGGTGTCCCTCAGGATGTTTCTGGCCCTGCTGAGACAACGGGAGTTGTAGATGGCTGTCAAAGAGGGCAGAGGGCAGCCGATCATTTTTTGTGCAGTGTTTGTCACTCTCTGCAGTCGCTTCCTATCGACCTCCGTGCAGCTTTAGTGCCACACTGTCACAGCGTAGGTCAACAGGCTCTCAATGGTGGAGCGTTAGAAGGGTCACCAGCTGCTGAGTTTTTAGTTTTTCCTTCCTGAGCACCCTCAGGAAGTGGAGCCGCTGCTGGGCCTTCATGACCAGAGCTGTGGTCTTGGCCGACCAGGAGAAGTCTGCAGAGATGTGGATGGCAAGGAATTTGAAGGACTCCACTCGCTCTACACCATTGATGTACAGGGGGGCAGGGGCGGCTTTCTTCTGTCTGAAGTCCAGGATGAGTTCCTCAGTCTTGTTGATGTTTAGTGCCAGGTTGTTTGATGCGCACCACTCGCCAAGTTTCAGGACTTCATCTCTTGAGGCCGCCTCGTTTTCCCCTGTAATCAGCCCCACCACCGTTGTGTCATCAGCGAACTTGATTATGTTCTCTGGGTGGGTGGGACTGCAGTCGGATGTGTAGAGGGAGTAGAGTAGTGGGCTCAACACGCAGCCCTGTGGAGAGCCAGTGCTGAGAGTGCGGGAAGAAGAGAGGTGAGGACCCAGTTTCACCTGCTGGGGTCGGTTGACCAGAAAGTTCTTTATCCAGGAGCAGGTGGATGGTGGGACCCCCAGGTTGGTTAGCTTGGGGATCAGAATGTCCAGTATTATTGTATTAAAAGCTGAGCTAAAGTCAATGAAGAACATCCTGACGTAGCTCTCCCGTTGCTCCATCTGGACCTGCAGCCTTCCTGGGGTTCACTGCACAGAGCACCCGCCACACGTCCTGTGCCTCAAGAGTAAGTGGGGGGGAGGTGTGCTGGGGGGCTGGTGGGGGTTGCGGTGGTTGTTGGAGTGATGAGGCTGGATGCTGTGTTTGAGACTCAAAGCGGACAAAGAAGCTGTTCAGCTCCTCTGCAGTCCCTCATCCAAGTTCCCGGGTGTCACAGCACAGCGTTTGTAGTTGGTGATGGTCTGTATGCCCCGCCACACTTGCCTGGGGTTGTTGAGATGTTCTTCTATCCTCCTCTTATATTCGACTGTGGCAGTCCTAATGCCTCTCTTCAGGTTGGCACGAGCGGTGCTGTAAGATGTTCAGTCGCCTGACCTGAAGGCTGAGTTACGGGCCCGGAGGAGCATGCGGATCTGGTGCGTCATCCAGGGTTTCTGGATGACCCAGATCCCAGATGCACTTTTCCACAGTGACATTCCCAGTGGGCATTTTACATATTGGTGGAATTTTGGTAATACAGTCTTTAGATTTGCCTTATTGAGGTCCTCTGCAATGATGTGGACTCAACTGGGGTGGGCGCGCTGGTGGGTATTGATGGCATTTAGCAGTAGAGAGAGAGCCATGTTTACGTTAGCGTCTGGTGGTGTGTAGACTGCAGTGATGACAACAGCAGCTAGCTCTCTAGGCAGAACGAAGGGTCTGCATCTCACCGACATAAACTCCAGGTCAGGAGAACAGTGTCTGTCCAAGATAGTGCTGTTGTTACACCAGCCTTCATGCACGTAGATGCAGAGCCCACCTCCTCTTTTCTTCCCGGAGTCAGTGTTCCTGTCCCATCTGTGTAACGTGCGGTCTACTAGTTGCACTGTGGCATCAGGGATTTGTGTGCGTAGCCATGTCTCTGTGATGATAAGCACACAGCAATCGCGAACATAAAGATTACCAGCCAGCCGTATTTCCAAATCGTCCATTTTGTGTACCATGGATCTGGCTTTGTAAGGTAGAGGCTCGGCAGCGGAGATTTGAGTGGCTGTTTCCTTAGTTTGAGCAGTTGCCCAGCCCTGCAGCCTCGTTTTTGTTTCCTCTCGCGTCGCCGTTTCGTCGCCTGCCAGACCCCATAACAATCCACGGAGATCCCGCTGGTCTCGCTATCTCGTCCGGAATGTTGTGAGTGCGGTGAAAGTCGCCGGAGATGGTCATTTTCAATTGGAAACCGATGTCCGGTAAGTCCAGACGACTGTAGTGTTTCATAATGTGGGTAGACGAACGTACAACATACGATAAACACAAAAGATAAACATAAAAAAAGCACTAATAGGGTGAGCTGTGAGCCACTGCGTATATGCGCGCCGCCATTTATCCAAGCATTTATCCAAATGGCTCAGGTATCAGTAAACCCATGTGATTAGGTTACACATGATCTTTATGATAAAGGACTTCTATAGAATTAATTATGTTTTGATATTTAAGGATTTTAAAGACTTCTTTGACCTCCTGAAAAAAGCAATTGGTTCCCTATGTTAGCCCGATTCTTTAGTTGGAAACCTGAGAATAAACCAGAGTCGATCAAGAGTAAAAAGTTGACATTTATTGGGTCACAGGTAAAGTATTTCAGCGCTGGGCTCTTCACAGAGGAAACCTCTCTCTGGGTCTCAGTCGGCAAAGAGCTCTCAGATCTGGGTGTGATGGGTCTTTGTCTCCTTGGCTAGGCACACCCCTCAAAAGGAGGACTGGACACAACCAAGTCCTATTGGTTAGTTACCTCTAAGACTAACAAGCCGGATTGTAAATTCATGTTGATGACATTGGAATGTGGTACCAAATGGTGTGTGTATGTGTTGACTTAAAGACGTGGATCTAATGCAACAGAGAAAAAGGATAGAAAGAAAAGAGAGAACAAAGAGAATCTGTGGTTACAGCCAGAAACTTCAATACAAACTATAGGTATAATATAAAATGAAACAATCAATAATATGCATAGATCATGTGATAGCAAACAATGCTAAAGTGTGTATTTATAACCAAATCCTAACACCTAATACAAATCTTTCAACTCTATTTTAACTTACATTTTAGGCATTTTATTTTTAAAGCCAAACCATGATAATCATGACTCGTCAAATGCTGCAATTTGCTATTAGACTTAATATCCTAAAGTTATTTAACACGTCTCCACGTCACAACTAAAAATTATTATTGTCATTGGCAGCAAACAATTGATCTTATTTTACAATGACTGCAATTGAAGCAAATTATGATAACTCACCATCACTGTGTTATAGTTTCTAAATTCTAAGTTCTATTTTAGCTTTGAGAAGTTGTTGGTAAAGATTCTCATAATGGTTATACTAAAACCTTGAGTAAGGGCAACTGGACTTCTTTTGGGATCTTGAAATTTTTTTAACCTTTTCACTATTTTACCTGTCATTTGACAAGCTTCTTTAGTTCTAAACTACAAGGTGGGGAATGTTACCTTATGAGCAAAGAGGGTGGCTAAAGTCAGAATCCCAAGCCAATGCGAAGGTTGTCATTCGATTGTTTTAGTCCTAACTGCCTAGGGCACAATGCTGCAGTATAAGTTTGGGAAGGTGATACCTAGGACCACTCCTAATTTTAGGATTGGATTGAGTAGTTTAACATTTGTGGTTTCCTTTCCTCCTTCAGGTGATTGCAATTCAAGAAAATGTATATGATTTGATGTATGTGCACATGTTGGGTAATGGGGGAGAAGGCCTTAAGGTCAATGTTTTCTTATGACGAAGGGGCTCTCTTTTAGAAAATGTTCTGGAACTAATAAATTACACTGAAAAACTGAAAGTTAGCAATGCCTTATGTAGCCCCTGGTTAAAAAACCATGCACTTAAGGCCTTTAATATTTACAAAATATTTACAAGGTTGGTTTTATGCAAGAAAGAAAAAAGGGATAAGTGAGCAATGTGTATGATTGTTTTTATATATTTTTAATCTGAGTGATTATATACATAAGGGAAGATGTTACTGTAGTAATATGAGAAATGATAAAACAAAAAGCCAAAACTTTTCTGTAGATGACGTGTATTGTTGTTTGATTAAGAATCTAATTTGTGTCTAATTTGTCTCATTTTTTAATCTAATTTGTGTAAAGACTGTATTGAGTATCCTATCTATGAAAGTAGCTTAGGTTAACGAGGGACAAGTGAACTCAACAGAAAAAAAAACGGAACAATGGGATTATGGGAAACGGGAGAAAGGAAGGACGCGAGAGAGAGAAGAAGGAAGAAGCTAATGGAGATAGCTGCTAAAGTTTGCAGAGGTTGAGGTGTGAGACGGAACTGGATTTTTCGGACGTGTTTTGAACAAGTAATCCTGCACACGGTGTGTGGGATAGCTGCTCAAGTATTAAGCAGTAAAAAGCTCGGAGGAAAAACTGCGGCTTTGATTCGGTTTGTTGTTTAAACGGGGAGAAGAGGATTGTCGTAGCGACATCGCACCCTAGCATCATCAGGCCTGCAACAACAACTTAAACCGGTACCGGACAGAGTGTGTGTGTGTGAGAGTATGGGCCCATGTGTGATATTGTGTTTTAGAGCTGTAAATGTTTGGTAAATGTATGGAGTTCTATTGGTAACAGAAACTGAATTCTGGTTAAAGTAACACAACTGTTAAAAAGTAAGGGTTTTCTTTAAAAACACAAAGGGGAAGTGAGTAGAACATAAGGTATTGAAAAGAAAAAGTGCCTTATCGGCTTTATTTTGTTCAGGGAAACACTAATGACCTTGCTCTATGTTTAAGCTTTTTGATTATTTTGGGGATTTGAGGAGCTAA